CCTCTTTTCCAGTGTATTTGTCCATGTTCTCAACATTCCAAAATCTTCAGCCTTTCTGAACTCCAATGTCCATCCTCATTCTGACTCTAAGATACCATTACACTCTTCTTGCATTGTTCTTCATTGCACTGAGATTCAGAAAATGATTCCAGCCAGAAAGCCAGGGCAATTACAACATTATTCTTCCAGGGATCAAAGTCCTACCTTGACTATTGTCACATACTTGAAAATTGTTTGTTTTTTATATATTTTATCCAGTTTTTCTCTTTTCCTTCCCCCCCCCCTTCCTTTCTGGCAACAGGCTGTTTCTACTTTGAGTTACTCCATGGCCAGAATACAAATTTATTTTTTAATTGTCAGTGGTTTATCATTGATACTTTAAATCCAAACTCCTTAGAGTAAAACATAAGACTTTTATGACCTGTCTCCAGCTTGCCCCTATTGCCTATATCCTTTTTCTTTTTTTCTTAAATGTTTTGTTCCAGCCACATGGGACAACCTTTATCTTGCATGTTTGAATATTTTTATGCCTTCATGTTAGTATGTTTACATTCTTTTGCCTTTCTGCTGACTTGCTGTCTTGGAATTATGTCCACTTCTGTCAGAGAAATTATCGTATTCTATTAGAACCATCTAACTTTGTTTCCTGCACTGTACTCTGAATTCTACATGTGATTTCAGGCACATCAGACCACATCTCTTGTAAATAAATGTCATTTGTTACAATACAGATTTGGGAAATGAGATGTTCTCAGAGGTTTATTCTATCCCTAAAATGTAAGAAGTTTTAGATTACCTAAAGAGCATATTTTCAAGGAAGCTATCATAAACATTCAGTTATAAAATTTAAAATGTGAATACTTAAACTCTGTATACTTTCACCAAAGATTCAGCATTTATAACCTAAGAACGATCATAAAAATGCACTTAATTGTGGATAAAACCATTTGTTTTGTATTTAGAGGAAGCCAGTGTCACCTGATATTTGCTAATAACTACAATAGGACAGCTTTTTGAAGAATAAATCTTAGTAAATTTTTACCTTTATACCTCTAACTAAACTACAGATCTTGTTGACTATTTTTTTAAATAAATGAACAATAGTTTATTGTATTAAAATGACTGACAATTTAATAAATGGATACAGCCAGAGGCACCAATATGAGTATACTAATAATTTCTCATGGTTTCTCTTAATTATCAAATGTCAGTGATAAACCTAATTACATGTATTTAGGGACAGTTGAGAAATTTTTACTTCTAAATCAAAGGCTACTCATTTATTCATGGGGAAAAAAAAAATCCATGGTCACAGGGAAATAAGTTCTATTTAAGGAAAAAATATAGGAAATACTAAAGCCATTTTTGAAAATATTAAGAGCAGACAGCTTTTTTTTCACGATAAATTTGCAAAACACGTAATACGCAGTTTTTTTGGTGAAATAGTTTGAAGAGGAAGGAATGTTAAGACATGGTTTTAAGCATGGGATTGAAAAGAGAAGAAAATGAAAACAAAACTGGGAAGAAGAAAGGGAGAGAGGATGAGAACAAGAGATGGGATGGAGAAAAAGGAAACAAGCATATATGCAAAATTAAGGAGAAAGAAAATGGTAATGATATGAGACAAAGGACCTTTGAAATATTAACTAAGTAAAATTTTGCATATTTATACCTTAACTCACTGAGCATTTTAATGAAGAGTTTCTTTTTCATTATAAAAGTAATATATATAAAAAAAAATACTTGTTCATTGCAGAACACCAGGCAAATATTCAAGAAGAAAGAAGAAAAATCACCTGGAAGGCTGCTAGCCAAATGCAAGAATTTTAACATTTGTGAGCATTATTTTCTTAAATTTTTAGATGCATTTTCAAACAGCTTTGTTAGAGTGGCATAAACATTTGGACTCCTTAATCACTTGGAACTCTAGCTTAAACATTTTTGAAGAACTTTTGTCAACATTTTTAATCCTAGTAGGAAACTGATAGTGACTTTATTAGAATGATTTGATAACATTTTAATTAAGAACTATTTACAAATATATGAACAATGGGCAGGAGTTCATAAGGGGCAATCTAGTAACCCAGGGCTTAGGACTGTGGCTAGGCCTGCAGGTCAAGGGCAATGAGTAGCAATAGGTCTGTGAGAGATCCATGGTGACCTTCAGCTAGGAGTCCTGGCAATCTTGGGTAATTCCACAGTGATAAGTAGCCCTGGAAATATAGATACACCAAAACTACTTTTCTCCCTATCTTCAGTCACCCATGGGATTCACTTTAGCTAGAATCTAACTGGTAGCCAAATGGTAATAGAACCTAAGTCATCTGTATAGATTACTTTCTGGGCAGAAACCAAAGGGGGAAAAAACAGAGATCCAATGGTTCTGGAGGGACAAATGGAAGATATTCAGGGCACTAATTAATATTCCATTAAAGTTCATTTACAAATCCCCCTCTTTTATGTTTTTTTCATTATTGTCAACAGTGCTATTAGGTTTTCTCTATTTAGAATTATTTCCTCAGTAAAAACCATTAAGAGGAAATATGCCAGGTACATAGGTATAAAAGATTTGTGACTTATTTTTTCCAAGAGATTGCAACAATTTATATTTCTACCTGCAAGTTATGAGAGCCTTACTATATCCTTCTTAGCAATGTAAATTTTTTGATGCTGTTAAGTTGTTTGGCAAATTACACGGCAAATGTTTTACTCTGCATTTCTTTGATAACCATTGGGTTTAAAGGTGTCCATGTTTGTTAAATTTATTTTCATTTTCTTTTCATACCCTGTTCTATTTCATGTGGCCCCCAGATGTGTTATTAATCCAAGATCCATTAACCAAAAGATTTTAATCCAAGATCCATTAACCAAAAGATTTACTTGAAACTGAATGTAAGTTTTTGAATAGCACCTCACCACTGCTCACTTTTTGTTTTTCTTGATGCTGAGATGATAATTGGCTTATAAATGGGAAAATTAGATTTCATTTATACAAAAATATTTCACTATTTGCCACAGAAATTACTAGGAAACAACATTGCCTTGTAACAGTAGAATAAAGTTAATTAAAATCAGATTGGAAATTTGGCAGAACATGCAGTATAACACAAATCGTTCCCAGTTATTCAGTGCATCCTGTGTTGCAAATATATCTCTTCATAAAAAATTCATTTGCTAATTTCCCTACAAGAAAATTTATCCTATGAGAGATTAATTTGTTTCAGATCTCACAAAATGTATATAATGAACTCATTTTATATACTGATTTTAATCTATAAAATTCAACCTTCTATTTTATCCAATATACTGTTTTGTTGTTTAATACTAAACAGATTTAATTTGCTCACCATAACCTCTTTAAGGTTTATACTGATAAGTAGAAACTAAACAATGTGCTCACCTATTTCCAACCACACAAAACCCCATTACAGATTTGCACTTTTGTTTTTTCATAGAATAAAGAGGAAGTCTCCATATGTTGGAATTTAAAGAATATGAATGAATGGTCTTCCTCTGTTCTCTAAAAATAATACAGATGTGAAGGACAAAATCACAATAGAATAAGTTGCCATCATATGGTAGTGATAATGAGGTAGGGAAGCTGGAGGGAATCCATTTTGGAAAGGCTATGTCTCTGCTGTTTTTCTGGTAGGCCGAATTTCTATATTTTGCTTCTGAACAAGCCAACGAAGCTATGTTCACTTCAAGGGGAAAGCAAGAGTGAATCATTCTTTTTTCCTAGGCCCCAAGCACGTAATAAAATCTAAGAAGAGCTGGATACCAAACATGTTCCAGAACATTAGCTTCAAACAAACTTCTGCTGACACTGGCATCAATACCTCCTACCTTCGATGATTCATGAAATAACACCTGTTACTCACCTCTCATCATCTTTGATTGGACCCTACCCTGGATTCCTAAAGGAACACATACCCTAGATCTTTTCTAATATAAACCCCTAGCCCCAAGCACTGATGAGACTCATTGTCCTTTCTAAGTCTCCTAGACACTCTGCTATTCTTAAACTCTGTTTTCACTTTCTCCAACTCACATTTGATTTCTATCCAGTGTGAAGCCAGGGACCCCCTCCAGTCTGCCGTCATCAGTTACAAATCCTGTTCTGGAGTCAGACTATTTCCTATGCTTCCTGGCTCACCTACCTATTAGGATGAATTAAGCAAGTTATTTTACGTCCCCGTGACTCGGTTTCATCTTTAAAAGAGGATAATAAAATTAACTATATATCAGGGGGTGTTCTGAGGATTAAGTTCATAAATATAAGCCTAATTTATTAGATCATAGTAGCCTAATGTAAATCATTAGAGCATTAAGAGTATTGATTGAATAAAATTGAAAGAAGGCAAAGAAACATAGGAAGAAAGGCAGGAAGCAATCTTGCTAGTCATTTTTAAGATTACCTCAACCACGCATTTACTTACATACTCTACTGTAATTTCATAAACACATTGACCATATTTTACTAGCAGAGTCCACCCAACCTTGGTTATATTGCTTGATAGAGTAGGTGCTCACTTAATAGATGATGAACAGTTAAATGCATAAAAGAATAAATGAATAGATAAAACTAGGAAGCCCTGGATATCTGGAACAAATAGGATACAAAAAATATATTTATTTTTCATATTTTTCCCAAAAGTACACAAAAAACATTGTAGGAATAATCTATATGAGACCAAGGAAAAAAATGGACCAGAAGCGTACCTAAATGAGCCTTATCAACCAGTCTTCACTAAATTTAGATATAGTAGATACCCTGTTCCAGACATGTAAGATCCAATTCCAGCTGTAACTTGGCTCAAACCACTTGCTTTACGGTTTCTCCTACATAAACAAAGTCAAATTGATGGTACCTACACATTTCTCTCCATGCTGGAAACTCCTTTGAAAAAGGTTTTATAAGAGTATGACATTCAGAATAAGTAATACCTAAGACCAGTGCCTGCCATGACTGTCCCACGTCGTCATGTTTGTGTACTTACTTGCTGGGTTGTCCGTGCTATGTAGACTGATCACTGGGACACCTGGGCCTGGATTTAAAAAACATGTATAAAAAATATGTATAAATATTTTAAAGACATCTAAGTAATAATTATTGGAAAGGCTACATGACAGTTACTTTTTTCCAAATTGAAGCATTTCATAGTTAAAACATAATTATGAAACAAACCACATAACTAGATTTCATTCCTATCTACGGATATTTTATTCAGAAAAGAACATATGGGGAAAGGAACCATTTGCAAAGATTGTTAAGATTTCCCCTTCTCCAAAATGCCCTATCCTTCTATAATTCTATGGTACCCAGTCTTATGCTCCTTACTCTCTTTCACTAGTCTTTTATAGCGCAGTCACTGATGTCCAGAAAGCTGATTCATGACCCTGTGACCCCTCACTAGTTCATCCAAGATTAAATTCTATTTACCACTCAATCAAGGAAGAAAGAATGCATGCATAATAGAAATATCTCATCCATAAGATAAAAATTTGGTTCTAATTATATATTAATTTAAAAAACATTAACTGCAATCATCAAATATTTCAAATATGCTTGTTACTTCAGTGTAACCATAAGATGTTATCCTGAAACTTCACTCCTCTAAGGAACTATATCTAGAGGTCTAATGGTTTTTCCCTGTTATCATCAAACAAGAACTTTTTTGATATCAAGAGAAAAAAAAAAAACTAAGAAGAGCAAGGGTTGATCTATTCCTCAGGGTGTCTTAAAACAGGACAGCTTCAGGTACCCACTGGGGCAAGAGCAGTTAGTCAGTCCATTACATTATAAGGGATACAGGTCTTCCATTTCATTCTGGGAGATACAGTGTCTATTTAAGGGGCAGCGATTCCTATCAATCAGTATAACCTAGATAGAGCATGCTAATATAGAAGTTATATATATATATATACATACACACACACACATATATGTATTTTTACCAGATAGAAGTAATTGGGGTGAATGTAATCTCTTAAAATTGAAGGGTGCTAGACCCAGGCAATTAAATTTCTGTAGATCCTAAATCTCTTAACAACCAAGCCATTATTTTAATAAGAGGACTGTTCTTTTTTTCTAAAGAGTAGGTAAATTCTGTTGTTATAGCATGACTTTGCTGATGTAAATGTTTATTCACTTTTTTAAAAGTTTCACTCTCAAACAGCCTTTATTGATCATGAGTAAATGTTCACTCCCAATTTCATTTTCTAAATGAAGATACAATTCATAGCTCAGTAAATTCTTACTTTATAACTTAACGAATGCACACATTTAGAATATCAAATCATATAGCTAGAGAATAATAGTTACTCATGATAGTAATAGATACTGATCAAATAAATTTCATCAGAAATCATGTATTACCTTTACAGAGTAATAAGAAATGTTGATTCATAGGACTAAAACTGGCATCAAAATATGTACATTGTTCTTTCATAAAATTACATGAAATGCATTGACGATTCAAAAGTCCTTCAGTAGAAGCACTGTGGAAAGAAAAAGAAAATTAGAAATGGTACTTTTCCAGGTACTTGAATGTGTGGCATCAATATTTAAATATTAACATAAACTGAAGAGCTCCAGCATTACTTACATTGCAGTTCCTTGTAAATGATGACTTACAGTATAAATGCAAAGTCAGTTTCCATTACTAATGTTAAGACTTACACATTTTTCTTCTCTGTAATAAAATTAAAATCATGTATGTCTACATGTATAAAATGTATGTGTGGATGTTTATAAATAAAGGAACTGATTTCCACAGGACTCAATGTAATTTATTCTTACCTGCCTTTTCTCTATAGATATTTCTTTATAAATATAGCTTTAAAGGAATTGCCCACAGAGACTAGCATAAACTCACCATCAATAAATATTAGTTGAAAGAACCAATACATTGTTTCACAAGCTACACAAAGAATCAAGCTCATTAAACAGTAGAATTTGATATCAGTGTCAAATTTTTCCCACTAAATATACTGAAAATACTTGCCTTAAATACCTGACTGAAATTTTTAGTAAAGTTACTTTTGTATGATAATGTTCGTGATCATACACACTTTGAGACGTCAGGGAGGTAGGTAAAAAGAAAAGCAATCATCTATTTTACAAATAGATATGAATCGTAAATTATGCCAACAGATGAAAATGGTGGTGAAGCTATATCTTAAACTTGGACAGAATATTCTGTTTCATTTAGAAATGAAACATGATTTTGGCTATACCTTTGTAAATGAATCCTAGTCATTTTGATGTGCAGTAGGCTGCATACACAGGGATAGGAACAGATGTATTGACAATGGGCAACAGAAGCACCAGAAGTAATTGAGGATCAATGTTAAGTATAGTTCATAAACTCACAATTTCACATTTGAAACATTCCGAGCTCATTATAAGCCAAAATTTTCCTTCACTGGTCAAGGCAATTAATATAAACTAAGCACTTAAACACATTAACCAGTTTCACCTTTACGATAACTTACAAGGTAGTCACACCTAATATTTTCTCTTTAAAATTGCTGTGTGTGTATATATACCTTCACACACACACCATAGCATTTGCCATTTTAATTATTTTTAAGTATATAGGTCAATGTCATTAATTCTATTCAGCGTTGTGTAACAATCTCCAGAGAGGCTGAGAATGCATGCCAGTTGTCCACAGCTACTTAAATATTATAACTGGAATTTAAAACCCTTTTCTCTCTCTACTCCTTCATATAATTTTTCATATTCAAGTTCCCCAAAATTTGTTGGTAGTTTCTCATTATTTAGATTACTTAGATTATTTAGAAATTACTGAAATAAATGCACATTTTGAGATAAAATTCTAAACTGACCGTGGCAGCAGTTGTGATTCTTCAGGGGTATCTCATCCCATAAATTTAATCAACCAATGATTATTTTTATGACCTGGACAATGATTGAGTTTTTGGGTTAAACACTAACGTTATCTTAACAGTCAAGCCAACTGGCATTTGCTACGCTGTTTAAGGGGAAATTCATTGGTACTGCATTTTCTGTATAATGATCTTTTTTTTTTTTTTTTTTTTTTTAGATTTTATTTATTTGTCAGAGAGAGAGAGACAGAACACAAGCAGGGGGCGAGGCAGGCAGAGGGAGAAGCAGGCTCCCCACTGAGCAAGGAGCCCAACGCGGGACTCGATCCCAGGATCCCGGGATCATGACCTGAGCCGAAGGCAGCGGCTTAACTGACTGAGCCACCCAGGCGCCCCTGCATTTTCTGTATAACACAGCCTACGCCACTAGTACGTCATAGATAGGCTGACTATTCTGCCTCGGTCACTAGAAAGCGAAGACAAGCACAAATCTAAGAAGTCATTTTGATGCAAATCACATTTTAGGCGAATGAAGGGAAAAGAGATTGAGATTCAGTTCCATTGGCTAAAATTGGCCAAGTCCAGTCTTTTGACACCGTCACTTTTCTTTAAGAATTTCATAAAATGAGAGAAATAAAACCTTGGTCAAGTAGTTTCAGGACCTTAAAAAAAATGGCTCAGGACTACCAGTACCAACCAGAGTACATGTTTCAAGACAGGCTTCGGTCACCAAAAAGAAAAAAAAAAGTAACCAATACTTTAATGAAGAACTCTAAACCCAAACTAGAATCAGTCTCTTTAAATAAATAGCTCTTCTTCCTTTGGAAGTCATTGAGAGTATGGGTTCTGGACTCTAAGAGGAAAACAACAAACACCCAAAAAACGAACACAGAAATAACATACTGGGAGAGGTGATAAAAATGAGACATTTGCTTCAGATGAAAGCAATTTATGCATAAATAAGAGTATGTGGTGAATTAGAGGGAGTTTAGGATGCTTTAAACATACATTTTTACCCTCAAAGGAAAGTCTAGGCTACTGGGTAAGAATCAGTGGTGACACTTCTTCAAACATGATGAATTTCTACTGAGAATATACCATGGCAGTTTTGACACTTTAAAAATGGATCTGTGAAATGGAAATTAGAAAGTGTATATAAAGTCTAGAATTAATGTTGCTTGCCAGACAAAAATAAAAGTCATTGTTGTGAGGTCCTAGTGAAAGCTTTCTGAGTGAGGAAACATTTTAGTACTAAATAGGTATGACCTTAAGTACCTTTTATGAGTATAACTTTCCATCTGGGAAAATTGGGCAGATGAAAACATTTCCCATCTACTGTTTTATTTAAGCAATGAGCATTCCTGGCTTCAATAACAATCTTACTAGGTTTTGTACACTATGGGGGCATGGGGGGTGGGGAGAAACACTTTCTCGATCCACTCTTCTAAGTGTTCACAATGGTTTTATTTTGTTTGGGAAAAAATTACCAGTGTACAATATTCTTGCACTGAAAATTCAAAATGAGGCTTAGCAGAAGAAAAGTCCACTGAGGAAAATATGTAAATGCCTATGATGTGGGTAGTTGAGAGAAGCAAGCCTTAAAAAAAAAAAGGATATTTTGAGACTGTGAAAGCAGGTGAGGAGAAAAATAAAGAAGGGGCAGCTAGATGGTCTTCACTTCAGGTCCAACCAACCCTTCAGGCTTGCTAATGTTCAGAGCTGAAAGACTAGACCAAAGTGTGAGGTTTCGTCATGTCAAAAATGAAACTCAGATTTTCCATCCTATCATTACGCTGTGTAGATGGCCACTGAGAAATGAACGTGTTCAGGGCAGTCCTTGCACCTTGCTTACCTGTACAGCTGCCTCCCTCTGGGAGAAGACTCTGTGCTCAGAAAGTAACTGCCCAGGAAAGAAAACAACACAAACATCAGGCACAGATCAATTTTTGCCAGGCTGTTTTCACTTGAATTTTCAAACTGTCAAAGAACAGGCAAGAGCTGTTCCATTATTCAACCGCAGAACTTTGCTCCATTTGGGAAGCACATCTTTTTTTCTTAAAATATCATCCTATCACCCCTTTGTGTGATCTCTGTCTGGGGGTGTGTGCATGTATCTGGGCAAGTAAGTGTGTCTCTGGGTGAAGGACAGGGAGAGTCTTTACAGAAAAAGTTGCTCTTATATAGCCGGGGTGTCTGGAGTAGGACCATAGTAAGCAAAACATAAATCTGGCAGAAAAGATTGCATTTGGCAGCCCAGACTTCCAACCTGACCAGAGAACCAAAAACGCTCACATTTTTTGAGTATTTTCATCATATGCCAAGATCTTTATCACTTCCCAGTTTCCTGATGTCAGATGCCGCACAGTAATTTGCTCACTTTTACTCTGCAAAGAAATAGAAAATATTGATTTTCCTTTTTATTTAAACAGCATCTCTCTGGTCAACACCAAAGTACCAACTGCCTGTGTCACTTTTAATTCCGTAATTCTCAGCTAACATTAAGTTTCTTGTTTTCAGTCTTAAAAATTCACACACATTCATGCAGACATTGACCAGGGTAGGATGGTGTCCTTTCTCCTATACTGTAGGGAAACCATTCGGAAAACACCTCTAGGTGAGGCTTTCCTCTGCATCACTTTGACACAGGATGTCATCTTGGCATTTGATACAGACACAGGACTTCGGTAACTCTCATCTCAAATGACTGGGACTTGTGCAGTTTGCACAGCGTTAAATAAAACATTGCAGAACAAACTTTATTGTAAATAAATACCATATAATAGCATATTATTAGTATATATTACATATACATATGTAATAGTATTATATAAATACTATTTTATGAAAGTATATAATACTTTTTTTTTTAAAGATTTTATTTATTTATTTGAGAGAGAGAGAATGAGAGAGAGCAAGCACATGAGAGGGGGGAGGGTCAGAGGGAGAAGCAGACTCCCCGCTGAGCAGGGAGCCCGATGCGAGACTCGATCCTGGGACTCCAGGATCATGACCTGAGCCGAAGGCAGTCGCTTAACCAACTGAGCCACCCAGGCGCCCTGAAAGTATATAATACTTTGAACTTTCAGAGCATGTTCATCACTTTAAGATTTGCTATTTTCCCACAATAACTTATTCCTGAGATTAATTCATATTGAAGTTTGTAGCCATAGTTTGATTTCACTGCTATATGGTATTTTATATGAATATAGCATAATTTCTGTTTTATCAACAGTTGAGCATTTACAAATATCTTCTCTTAAAAACAAGTTGCCTGTGAACAGTTTTATTAAAATCTCCTGGGGCGCCTGGGTGGCTCAGTCGGTTAAGCATCTGCCTTCGGCTCAGGTCATGATCCCGGGGTCCTGGGATCGAGCCCCGCATCGGGCTCCCTGCTCCGCGGGAAGCCTGCTTCTCCCTCTCCCACTCCCCCTGCTTGTGTTCCCTCTCTCGCTGTGTCTCTCTCTTTCAAATAAATAAATAAAATCTTTAAAAAAAATAAAAAATAAAAAAAAATAAAATAAAATCTCCTGATGCACATGGCAGATTTTCTTGAGACAAACACCAGGAAGTGGGATTGGTCATTAGTACACATGTCTTCTACTTAACTAGGTAGTGACAAAATATTTTCCAAACTTGTCCCTATTTACAGTCTACTAGCAACATGAGTTTTCATTGCTCCACATCTTTATCACTTCCTTACCAACATTAATTTCCTCAGACTATTTTTTTGTCAAATTAATGAGTATGAAATTATATCTTATTTTCTTTTTATTGAGGAAATATTCAAACCTACAGAAAGGCTGAATGAAAAGTACATGATTATCTGTAAAATCATTACCTAGACTCACCAAATGTCAACATATTGAATATTTGCCCTCCCTCTTTTTATTGTTTGCTCAATCATTTAAAAGTAGACTGCAGGGTGCCTGGGTAGCTCAGTTGGTTAAGCGACTGCCTTCGGCTCACGTCATGATCCTGGAGTCCCTGGATCGAGTCCCGCATCAGGCTCCCTGCTCCGCAGGGAGTCTGCTTCTCCCTCTGACCCTCCCCCCTCTCATGTTCTTGCTCTCTCTCATTCTCTCTCTCTCAAATAAATAAATAAAATCTTTAAAAAAAAAAAAGTAGACTGCAAACATCAGGATATTTTTGCCTACGTCTCTTAAGATTAAGACTATTTTCACATGTAAGCAAGTCACATATCACACCCCGGAATATTAACATCATCTAAATATATAATCTATACCCTAAATTCCACAACAGCCACAAGTAACCCAAATAACTATACACACACACACACATAATGTATTTCATGTTTAAATATATATAAATACATACATACATACATTTATATATTTATATAAAATAGATGTCTCAATCAAGGTTTCCATATCGTATTGGATTGTCATCTCTTTAGTCTCAAAGAAAAACACTTGTCTTTTCTGATTTCTACAACATTGGCCATTTTTTAGACTCTTGGTCCAGTGGTCTTACAGAATGTTCAGAATTTTGAATTTATCTGTTTTCTTATGCTTTAATTTAGCCTAAATATTTTTAGCAAAAATATTACAGAGGTGATACCGGATACCTCTGCTGCTTATATCAGGAAATATACCATTATACATCTTCCCACTCATGACAATGCTGTTTACATGGTAACTGTGAGATATAGTCATTGTAAAAAACATTTGCCTTATAATTAAAAGCGGATGATACTTGAATATTATATGAATAGCTTTTTCCCCATTAACTTTTCATTCAGTAGGTTTGGCATCCATTCATGACCTTTCCCTAAATAAATTACCATCTCAAAGTGATTTTCTAATTCTAATATCACTTTTTTATTTATTAGGTGGCATACTTCTGTAAAAAGAACTTCTATTTCTCCTTCTGTGTTTACTCTCATTTTCTCTTTCTCTCCCTCTTCTTCATATTACTATACACTTAACGCATGTTTAATGCAATGTTACATTCCATTACTGTTGTTACTCTTTATGATGCTGAAATTGTCAAAATTTGGTTAGCAGGGACTCCTTCAAGTCAACCCCTCTATTCTTTGGAAATTATTACATTGGTCTTTGAGTACTTCCATGTTTTATTCACAATCACATGTTCTTACATCATTTTACTTCCTCTACCTCCTAACTGTAATCAGTTATTTCTCCGTGAAGTTTTTTTCTACTGGATTAAGGTATTTAGATAGAAGGATGCGGGGTTATGTGTGTTCATCGCTACTCTAATGTTATTAGTGCTGGGCCTTTTTAGAAGAGATAGATGGATAGCTAGACAGATTTCACTGTTTTCTCTCTGTGCATGTGTGCGTGTGTGCGTTCTTAGTATTATCTTCAATTCAAATTTGTATCAGTTTGATTTATATTCAGGTGCATTTACTTCTCTATTTCAACATAGGCTTTGTTGTCCTCATTTTTTGTATTTAATTTTCTTTTAAAAATATGTAGATGGGGGACACCTGGACCTGCCTTCAGCTCAGGTCATGATCCCAGGGTCCTGGGATCCAGCCATGAGTCAGGCTCCCTGCTTAGTGGGGAGTCTGCTTCTGCCTCTGCCCCTCCCCTCCACCTGTGCTCTCCTTGGCTCTCTTTCTTTCTCTCCAATAAATAAAATCTTTTAAAAATGTAAAAAAAATATGAAAATATGTAAATGATTCAAACATACACTATATATATGTATGTATAAAAATATTGGAGTATAGAAGCCCAAACCTCTTGCCCTCGTTTGGGACTTCTCTGAGGGCCATTCAGTCTAGAATTCTTATGGGGTCAGCTGAGGCCTTCATTCAGATGGCCCTGCCGCTCAAACTGTTCTGCCCAATTTTTCTTCCTTGCATTCCTTTCCAAAGTTATTGATATCCTCTGTAATAATGGTCCTACAGGCTAATCTTCTCAGTTGGCTTCCTATGAAACTCAACTTGTGACAGGTATATTGGTATAATTTCATTTTGCATTTCTCTTAGGAAAAAAGTTGAGCATCATATATAGATATATATGTATAATACAACATATATAATGTGTCATTTGCATAATTACAAAGGAGATTCGGTAATTATCCCTCTGCTATTGTTTGTCTACATTATCTATCAGATTTGTTTTGGTCTTCTTTATTTTTTAAGAACTCTTTGTCTTTATATCCATTATGTGAGATGTAAGCTGCAAATATGTTCTCCTGATTTGTCATTTTATGTTGACATTGGTTATGGTACTATTTTTCCCCAAAAAAGTTTTTTCTAATCTTTATGTAATCAAATTTACCATCATATTCTTACATTGTCTCTACATATTGGTGCATAGTTTAAAAGCTTTCTTCAAACTAAGGTTATGAATAATTTATTAATGTTTTCTCCCAGTACATGTAATGCTTTATTTCTCAAAGTTAGATCTCTGATCACTTTAGAATTATGGTGGTAGTATGTAACTACTTTTATCTTTTTCCTAATGATATTCACTTTTTCCAAAACTATTTTATGAAAAAATTCACTTTTTCCAGTACTTTGAAATCCCATCTTTATCATATATTAAACTTCCATATGTGTCTAAGGCTATTTCTGTACTGTCTATGCTGTTCCTTTAGTCTCTGTTAATTCACGTCCCAAAACCACACTTTTAATTACAGATTTTTGTAACATCCATATTATTTAGAATCCACCCCTTAGTATTTTTTTCAGGATTTCCCTAGATATTACTTATTAAAAATAAGCATGTCTCATTCAAGCATATAAAGACTTGCTAGCATTTCTTATTGGGATAAAATAAAATTTCTAATTAATATTGACCTCTTTATGATCTTCAGTCATCTTATCCCAGAACAGGGATATTTTCCCATTTGTTCAAGTCTACTTTATGCCTTTCCAGGAATGTTTTAACATTGTCCTCATAGAGGTTTTGTACATTTTGCACATTTATATTTCATGTTTTATATTTTGTTGCTAATGTGAATGGCTTCTATTCCATATCCTTTTTAAATGGTTATTATTTGCAAATAGGAACATTATTCGTTTCCATATGCTAAATAGCTATCCTGCTATCTCACTGAATACTTTTCCAAATCTTATGGCTTATGGTTTATTCTCGCCTGATTTACACGAATGTCTCCCAAAACAATATTGTGGAGATAGTGTGCATCCTTCCTTGTTCCCAACCTTAATGGGAATGCCACTCTATTGGATTATGGACTGAGGCATATATGTTTTATCATGTTAAGAAATTAACCACCAATTCCTATATTTTTAATTTTTTTAAACCAGGAATTGGTATTAAATTTTATAAAAGGCTTTTTTTACAGCAACTGTAAGTAAACCAATGATGTAGAACAATTCAAATTGTGTTAGGCATTACTTTTGAAAGTCTGATAAGATTCCCTTATAAAATCA